TTTCTCCAATGTTCTCTAATAACTTAATGGTGTCAGGACATAGATTTAGGTCTTTAATCCACGTTGAGTGGATTTTTGTGTAAGGTGTAAGGTAGGGGTCTTGCTTCATGCTTCTGCACGTGGAAATCCAATTTTCCCAGCACCATTTATTGAATAGACTGTCCTTGCTCCAGGAATTAGTTTTAGATCCTTGATCAAATATAAGTTGGCTGTAGATGTTTGGATTGATTTCTGGTGTTTCAATTCTGTTCCATTGGTCTATCCATCTGTTTCTGTACCAGTACCATGCTGTTTTGATTACAACTGCCCTGTAGTATGTCCTGAAGTCTGGTATTGTGATGCCTCCGGCTTTGTTTTTGTTGTACAAGATTGCTTTAGCTATTCGAGGTCTCTTGTGCCTCCATATGAATTTCAGCATCAATTTTTCTAGATCTGCGAAGAATGTCTTTGGTATCTTGATTGGGATTGCATTGAATCTATAAATTGCTTTTGGGAGAATGGACATTTTGATGATGTTGATTCTTCCAATCCATGAGCATGGAAGATTTTTTCCATTTTTTGGTATCCTCTTCTATTTCTTTCTTTAAGGTTTTGTAATTTTCATCGTAGAGATCTTTAACGTCCTTGGTTAAGTTTATTCCAAGGTATTTGATTGTTTTTGTAGCTATTGTGAATGGGATTGATCTTAGCAGTTCTTTCTCAGTCATGGCATTGCTTGTGTATACAAAGGCTGTTGATTTTTGTGCATTGATTTTATATCCTGCCACTTTGCCAAACTCCTCTATGAGTTCCAATAGTCTCTTAGTAGAGTTCTTTGGATCCTCTAAGTACAGAATCATATCGTCTGCAAAGAGGGATAGTTTGACTTCTTCCTTCTTGATTTGTATTCCTTTGATTTCTTTTTCTTGTCTGATGGCTCTGGCTAAAACTTCCAGAACTATGTTAAATAGCAGTGGTGAGAGTGGGCATCCCTGCCTGGTGCCAGATTTCAGTGGAAATGCTTCCAACTTTTCCCCATTCAATAAGATGCTGGCTGTGGGTTTTTTATAAATTGCTTTGATTATATTGAGGAATGTTCCTTCTATACCCAATTTGCTTAGAGTTTTCATCATGAAAGGGTGTTGAATTTTATCAAATGCTTTCTCTGCATCAATTGAGATAACCATATGGTTTTTCTTCTGCAGTCTGTTAATGTGGTGAATCACATTGATTGATTTGCGAATGTTGAACCATCCCTGCATACCAGGGATGAATCCCACTTGGTCTGGGTGGATGATTTTCCTGATGTGTTGTTGCATTCTATTGGCCAGAATTTTATTGAGGATTTTTGCATCTATGTTCATCAGGGATATTGGTCTGTAATTTTCTTTCAGTGCTGCATCTTTCTCTGGCTTAGGGATTAAGGTGATGCTGGCTTCATAGAAAGAATTTGGGAGGATTGAGAGATCAAGAAACTCCACAAAAACAAAACCAACAACCCACTTAAGAGATGGGCCAAGGACTTCAATAGACATTTTTCAAAAGAGGAAATCCAAATGGCCAACAGACACATGAAAAAATGTTCAAGGTCACTAGCAATCAGGGAAATGCAAATCAAAACCACAATGAGGTTTCACCTCACCCCGGTTAGAATGGCTCACATACAGAAATCTACCAACAACAGATGCTGGCGAGGATGTGGGGAAAAAGGGACACTAACCCACTGTTGGTGGGAATGCAAACTGGTCAAGCCACTATGGAAATCAGTCTGGAGATTCCTCAGAAACCTGAATATAACCCTACCGTTCGACCCAGCCATCCCACTCCTTGGAATTTACCCAAAGGAGTTTAAATTGATAAACAAAAAAGCGGTCTGCACCCTAATGTTTATTGCAGCACAATTTGCAATAGCCAAGACCTGGAACCAACCTAAATGCCCATCAATGGTAGACTGGATAAAGAAATTATGGGATATGTATTCTTTAGAATACTATACCGCAGCAAGAAACAACGAAATCCAGTCATTTGCAACAAAATGGAGGAATCTGGAACACATCATGCTGAGTGAAGTAAGCCAGTCCCAAAGGGACAAATACCATATGTTCTCCCTGATCGGTGACAACTGACTGAACACCAAAAAGGAAACCTCCTGAAGTGAAATGGACACTATGAGAAATGGTGACTTGATCAGCATAGCCCTGACTGCTAATGGACAACTTAATACATTATCCCTCATAGTATTTTTTTTTTGTCTGTTCTACTTAATATGGCTGGTTTAATTCTGTAATTATCACACAGTTATTCTTAAGTGTTGAAAATTAACTGAAATGTGATCCCTGTTAAACATAAGAGTGGGAATAAGAGAGGGAAGAGATGTATAATTTGGGGCATGCTCGGGCTGACTTGCCCCAATTGGTAGAGTTGGAAACATACCAGGGGATTCCAATTCAATCCCATCAAGGTGGCATGTGCCAATGCCATCTCACTATTCCAAGTGATCAATTTCAGTTCACAATTGATCATAATGAAAGGACTAAGAGTCAAAGGGAGCACATAAACAAGTCTAGTACCTGCTAACACTAACCGATAGAATAAATAAAGGGGAGAGTGATCCAACATGGGAAGTGAGATACTCAGCAGACTCATAGAATGGCGGATGCCCTAAATAGCACTCTGGCCTCAGAATCAGCCCTAAAGGCACTCGGATCTGGCTGAAAAGCCCATGAGAGTATTTCAGGCATGGAAAGCCAAGACACTCTGGCAAAAAGATCTCTGTGAGTGAGATCCCAGTGGAAAGAACAGGTCTTCAAAGAGGGAGGTGCCTTTCTCTGAAGGGAGGAGAGAACCTCCACTTTGACTATGACCTTGTCTAAACAAGATAAGAGTCGGAGAACTCAAGGGGCTTCCATAGCCTTGGAAACTCATGACTGGTGCATAGGGAGATTACTGATGCCATAAACAGGAGTGTCAATTTGTAAAGTCAACAACAGGAGTCACTGTGCACTTACTCCTCATGTAGGATCTCTGTCCTTAATGTGCTGTACACTGAGGCTTAATGCTATAACGAGTACTCAAACAGTATATTTCACTTTGTGTTTCTATGGGGGTGCAAACGATTGAAATCTTTACTTAATGTACACTAAACTGATCTGTAAAAAAAAAAAAAAAAGAAAGAAAAAAAAGAAATTATCAATTCCCAACTTGACTCTCACTGGGATTAAACATGACAATAGGTCTGATCTGATTTCATCATCATTTAAAAAAAATCATCTATTATTTTTCACTTTATGTTTCTGTGTGGGAGCAAACTGTTGAAATCCTTACTTAGGTATACTAAGCTGATCTTCTGTATATTAAGATAATCGAAAATGAATCTTGATGTGAATGGAAGGGGAGAGGGAGTGGGAAAGGGGAGGGTTGTGGGTGGGAGGTACGGTATGGGGGGGGAAGCCATTGTAACCCATGAGTCGTACTTTGGAAATTTATATTCATTAAATAAAAGATAAAAAATAAATAAATAAATAAATAAATAAATAAAAAAGATATTAATGAACTGTTCCTTCATATGCACTATATATTTTAGATAAGCTATTTCTCAAAATACTTTTTGAGGATTTAGAGATTTCCTCCCAGGAGCTGAGTGAGGACCAACCATTTCTTTGGAATGCAAAGGGTTTACGCAACCAGGGCCTGCTGTGTGGACCCTTAACTGTGGCTTTTAGTTTTCTGACTGTGGAATGTTATGTGCACGTTTACTTACGATGGCCACTAGTTGAAGTGTCGTATTTGCCACCAAGTTTCCTTCTAAAGCATGGGTTTCACCATTTAGTTGCTTACTAATTTTTGGATTTATTATCCTGATGTTCAGTTTTATGATGTAAGTGTGATAAAAGGTGATGCCTAGTACACAGGGACCTTGTGGATAATAAAGCTAGAGTCGCGTGATTTGGAAACACAGGAGTTAACTCCGTCTGGAGGCTTTGTGAAATCTGTAAGATTGTCATTATATTATATGGAAGCTATTTCTGCTCATTCACATAGTGAAATCATGAACCAACAACCATCCACTTTGCCTCCACCATGCTTGGGCCATGCTGCTGACAAATGGGCTTGCTCTGACTGCTTGCATGAGATCTGTGGCACGGTCATGAATGCAGAAGTGATTTGTTAATTATACCTGGGAGGAAGGAGAACAGAATCTTTTTTTAGATAGGTATGTGTTTTGCTTCATTTTAAGAGTTGTTTGTTTATTTATTTATTTATTTATTTGACAGGCAGAGTTAGTTGGTTCACGTCCCAAATGGCTGCTACAGCCAGCGCACTGCACCAATCCAAAACCAGGAGCCAGGTGCTTCCTCCTGGTCTCCCATGCGGGCGTAGGGCCCAAGCGCTTGGGCCATCCTCCACTGCCTTCCCGGGCCACAGCAGAGAGCTGGACCGGAAGAGGAGCAACCGGGACTAGAACCCGGGGTGCCAGTGCCGCAGGTGGAAGAATAGCCCAGCGAATCATGGCACTAACCAAGAGTTATTTATTGTATTCAAAAGGCAGAATTAGAGATCTTCTATCTGTTGGTTCACTCCCCAGATCAACCCCGGGCCAGATCTGGAGCCAGGAGCTTCTTCTGGGTCTCCCATGTGGGTGCAGGGGCCCAAGTGCTTGGGCCAGCCTCAGGTGCTTTCCCAGGTGTGTTAGCAGGGATCTGGATCAGAAGTGGAGCAGCTGAGACTCAAACGGCGCCCATATGGGTTGCAGGTGATAAAGGCTAAGGCTTTAATCCACCATGCCACAGCACTGGCCTCAGAGAGCAGAATCTTACTGATCCTATGCACATGGCTATGAAGAGTAAAGGAAATTAGTGAAGGCACTTTTTATAATATTTAACCATTTTTACTATTGTTTTTTGTACTTTTATATTTTGTTCTCTACTGAATTAATTTTTTTAATTTTCCTGACAGTTGTTACTTATATTCAGATTTTCCAATGAATTTTTTCTGAATTCTAAAGGATCCATGGAACATACCATTTACAAGAGTGTTTTATTCCAGTTTAATCGACTACAGCCAGATAGAGAAGAAAAATTTTTCTTATCTGTCCTTTAGAAATAGAATTTTAGCCACATGCTATGGTTTGAATGTGTCCCTGCAAAAAAAAAAAAAAAAAATGTGTTAGAAACTTAGTTCCCAAGGCAGCAGCATCGAGAGTTGAGTCTACTGAGAGGTGATTGGGCATCAGGGCTGCGTGCTTGGGAGGGGATTAATGTCATGGCTGGTGCAGTCCTTACAGAAGGACGCATTTTGTCCTCTTTCTCCCTCCCTCTCCCTAAGTCCCTCACTCTGGCCCTTCTGCCTTCTGCCACGAGAGGACGTGGCAAGAAGGCCCTCGTCAGATGCCAGCACCTTTACTCTTGGACTTGAACTGAAGAGCTAAATCCAAGTTCTTTATGAATGACCCAGTCTGTGGTATTTTGTTACAGCAGCACAAAACAGACGCAAACACTGTACCAAACCCATTGAATCCTCGGTAACTTTAGAACTAGCCTGGAGGTAGCTTCTGATTTTGAATGAAACAATCAGTTTTCATAAAATCATCTGCTTCTGATTTTAAAATATCCTAGAAATTCTGGCTGCAACCATGGGTGCTCTGACAGGTAGTGGTTTGTCATGCTAACCACCAGCTTGTCCTGAAAAGTCTGTTCCCATGAGTCTACTCACTGCAGTCAGTCACAAATAGGATCAAACATTTAATGAGACTTTCTTTGATGTTTCTTCCTGAAGACTGAATTAAAAAAAAAAATCAGAAGCTATCTATGGATGACATGACAAAACGATTGAGATGAACCTATAATAGCTAATAATACTAGAATATAACATCCTTTATTCTAAAATGACAGTTGTTGTATAAGGATTAGTCAATAACTATAACTGAAAGGAAAAATATAAATGGACAGAGCAAACATCTAAAAATCTCCAGATTCTTCAACTTCGTAAAATACTTTTAGATTATCATCCTGAAACAAAATATTCCCTTAAAAAAGAATGAATTTTTTAGCAGTTATTGTATCGAACTTTGTATATGGACTTCAGTAGACTTATGTCAAACCTGAGAGTTACACAGAGAATAAAGTATCTTGATTTTATATTTATGTTTATAGTTTTTACTCATATAATTAACAGGCTACATTTCTCTACATATTTGTAAAGTTCATATTGAGGACTTGTCAAAAGCAGAATGTATTTAATAGTTTTACACTAATAGAAAAACCTGCAGTATATCGAACTTTTTTTTTAATGTCTTTGAAAGAGTTAGAGGCAGAGAGAGAGAGAGAGAGAGGCAGAGAGAGAGGGGGAGAGAGACAGAGAGAGGCATTCATCCACTGGCTCACTCCCCAAATGGCCGCAACAACTGGGGCTGGGCCAGACTGAAGCTGGGAGCCAGGAGCTTCATCCTGATCTCCCACGTGGGTGCAGGGGCCAAAGCACCTAGGCCATCCTCCGCTACTTTCCCAGGCACGTTAGCAAAGAGCTGGATTGGAAGTGGAGCAGCCAGGATCAAGCTGGCGCCCATAAGGGATGACGGCATTGCAGGCAGCGGCTTTACTCTCTATGCCACAACACTGCCCCCCCAAGCATTTTAAACATTTCAAATTAGATTTGGGAAATCTAAAAGACCATTTTGATATCAAAGCTATAGTAAAAGTGTTATTTAGAATCTGGGAAATGCAGTATCAAAAAAAGCCAACAGAGGAAGAGAAAGCTACAAGAAACCACAGAAGAAAAGTTGCAGGAAATACTAAACTAAGCACTAGGAGAGGACAGGAGTAGGAGTTTTGGAAAGATGAGAAACTTTTGTTTAGAAAAACATTTCAGAGGTAGGCGAGTGGTGCAGTGGTTCAGTTGTTGCTTGGCACTCTTGCATCCCATATCTGAGTGCCTTTTAATACTTTTGCGTTCTGACACAAGCAGACTGAATTAAATTTTTACTTTAAGACAAAAAATCTATTGTTTTTCATACTCCTATAGACACACAAAATTATAGTTCTTTTTGAAAAACAAAAAGCCTGAATACTAACATTTATATATAATTTTTTTTTTTTTTTATTTTTGACAGGCAGAGTGGACAGTGAGAGAGAGACAGAGAGAGAAAGGTCTTCCTTTTGCCGTTGGTTCACCCTCCAATGGCCGCCGCTGCAGCCGGCGCACCGCGCTGATCCGTTGGCAGGAGCCAGGATCCAGGTGCTTTTCCTGGTCTCCCATGGGGTGCAGGGCCCAAGCACCTGGGCCATCCTCCACTGCACTCCCTGGCCATAGCAGAGAGCTGGCCTGGAAGAGGGGCAACCGGGACAGAATCCGGCGCCCCGACCGGGACTAGAACCCGGTGTGCCGGCGCCGCAAGGTGGAGGATTAGCCTATTGAGCCACGGCGCCGGCCACATTTATATATCATTTTGTTACCGGGCAAATAATGGAGCCCTTGCTGCTAGCCGCTTAGGTAGCCAATTCACCAGTGAGGAGGGCTGCTTAGAGGAAAGAATTTATCTCAAGAAGCCAGGAGTGTTGGAGAAAGAGAGAGAGATCGCCTGATCCAAAATGTGCTCCTTCCCACCCAACAGGGCAGCAAAAAGGATTTGTGAGGGAGGGGAGGTTAGAAAAGGACATTGAGGGGGTTGGCACAGTGAGTTAAGTCTCCACCTGTAGCACCAGCAACCCACATGGGCACCAGTTCCAGTCCTGGCTGCCCCACTTCTAATCTGGCTCTCTGCTATGGCCTGGGAAAGCAGTAAGGATGGCCTAAGTGCTTGGGCCCCTGCACCTGCGTAAGAGATCTGTAAGAAGCTCACGGCTGCTGGCCATTTGGGAGTGAATCAGTGGATGGAGGACTCTCTCTGTCTCTCTTTCTCTCTCTCTCTCTCTCTCTTTCTCCCTCTCTCTCTCTGGCTTTCAAATAAATAAATAAATCTTTAAAAACTCAGTTGGTAACTAGGCAGAGTTTTCTGGCTTTGCCCTGAGGATCCAGGGCATCAGGGAGGTGGAGGTTTCCTGGACCTTATCAGCAGTCAGCTGAGCCAGGCGTGAGCTTCTTTCTGAGCCAGGGGTGGAATCTTCCCCTGCAGGTCAGTAGGCCCCTGACATTCTTCTGCAAACATTGTTATTCACAAGACTAATCACGGGTAGCTCATGAGACTAGTCACAGATAATTCACGATGCTTGTAATTGGATTCTCTGAGTTAAAACATGGAAAGGGAAAAACTTATGCCCTTATTACTGTTATGCTCTCAATGCAGTAACTGATCACTTACAATGTATAAAAGCAAAAGCAAGGTTCTATTAAAACTGCATTTGATCTCTCAGTATTTTTCCTTACCTACAAATTACTTAGACATTGTAATGTGTATCCAGAGATTATTAAGTGATAAACCTGATATAAGTTTAGAAATTAGGAAAATTTCTATGCAATTTAGTTAAGTAGGTGTTCTGTGGGAACATAAATTCAAATCCTGCATGTATTAGGCTGGTATGCTAACATTTTAGTTCACATTGTGATAGAACCAGGAAGGAGACAGAGAGCTATTAGTTATTTGTTCCATCTCCTTGAATCAAGAAATATTTATGGAGCATCTCAAAGATTTCAGAAGGTTGAATATTCAAAAATACAAAACTGCACAGGAATCATTTCTTTAAAGTCAAAGGGTGAGGAACAGAAAGAGAGAGTGCAGGCAAACACAGCAGGGCAGGGAGGGTCTTGGACATGAGCCAGGGAGCCAGCACTGTGGTGCAGTGGATAAACCCACCACCTGTGGCAGTGGCATCCCATATGGGTGCCAGTTCAAGTCCCAGCTGTTCCACTTCCAATCCAGCTCCCTGTTAATGCACCCGGGAAAGCAGCAGCAGATGGATGGTCCAAGTCCTTGGGCCCTTGCCTCCACGAGGAAGACCCAGAGGAAACTCCTGGCTACTCCTGTAGTTGAGACCATCTGTGGAGTGAACCAGCCGATGGAAGAGTCTTTCTCTCTCTCTCTCTCTCTCTCTCTCTCTCTCTCTGTGTAACTTTGACTTTCAAATAGATAAATAAATCCTAAAAAAAAAAAAAAAAATTAGACAGTGACAAATCCCCCATGTCCTTATTCTGACATTGGCCATCAAGATCCATGCAAAGAATTCTGATTTGGGGAATTTTAAAGAAGTTCCCAGTGGGAAATTTGTAGGCCCCTTGGGTCATGTGAGGGAGGAAGTCAAGTTGTCTAATTGAATACTGCCTTCTAAACTCCATAAATAAAACAACCAGTCCCATGATGCTCAGATTTTTAAAAAACACATTGTAATAGCTAATTGTATCAGCTTGGCCGGGTACCTACAGCTGTTTAAAAAAAGCATTATTAAATTAGTTTGTCTGAGGCATTCGGATCTGGCTAAAAGGTCCATGAGAGTCTCACAGGCATGGGAAGCCATGACACGGTGGCAAAAAACGATCTAAATGAAAGATTTTGGTGAACAAGGCCCCAGCAGAAGGAACAGGCCATCAAGGAGGGAGGCACCTTTCTCTGAAGGGAGGAAGGAACCCCCACTGTGATACGGCCTTGACTAAACAAGTTCAGAGTCGGTGAACTCAAGGGGCTTCCATAGCCTAGACAGCTCATAGCAAGAGTTTCGGGTGATTGCTGACATCATAAATAAGAGTGCCAATTGTTAACAACGGGAGTCACTGAGTACATGCTCCCCACGTAGGATCTCTGTCCTTAATGTGTTTTACTATGAAACTTAAAGACAACACTACTAGTCGAACAATGCCCTATACCTTGTGCGGTTGTGTGAGTGCAGCCTGTTGAAATCCTTGCTTAGTGTATACTAAGTTGATCTTCTGTATATGAAGGTAATTGAAAATAAAACTCGATGAAGGGCGGGATGGGAGAGGGAGTGGGAGAAGGGAGGGCCGCAGGAGGGAGGGAGGTTGGGGGGGGAGCCACAGCAATACAAAAGCTGCACTTTGTAAATTCACATTTATTAAATAAAAATCAATCAATCAATCAATAAATAACTAGTTTGAGGATTCACCTTGACTAGGAATATGATAACTTGAACTTTTTAAAAAAATTTTTTATTGATTTATTTGAGAGGCAGAATTACAGACAGAGAGAGGGACAGA